ACTGACTGCAGCCAAATTTAATAATGTAAGTTGAAAAAAAAATAATTTACCAGTATTAAGAATATAACATATTTAGCAAATACAAGCAATTAATCATTTGACTGAAACAAATATTAGAGTTAGTAACAAAGTACACATATATCAAGGTATTTACGATGATAAAAAAGTTAATTAAACTAGTTTACTGTGTCTCATATGGCAACTGAAAGCAAAAGATAATAAATAATGTAACAATAACTGACATCTGAACAAGAAATGTCTGCGACCATAAGAAATAATTTTTGCAGTTTACATTTTGATTATTGTTCATATAGTGCATGCTGTGTGGTGAAGATGAAGTCTGCCAAACCGTGTAACTGACTGACATTAAACCCCCACGACGACCACACAACAAGCGATGGACACCCAGTGGCATAAAGTGCCACCATTCGGATGAGATCCTTGTCCACAAGACTCAAAAACCCTGTTCAATCATATTATATTAGGGCTCCGGAGTTGGGCATTAAAATAACAAAATATTGCATCCCATATTGAGTAGATACTGTCAAACTGAGGGTCCCCAGAGGGTCATTTGGGTGGGTCATGTCTGTGCTGCCAGGAGGGCCACAACCGACAACTGACCGATGTATCCTTATGCTTTTATTTCCTTTGTACAGGCCGCAGGTGTGCTTGCCTAGTATAGATAGATGATCAGGCTCATCCACAGTCATGGATGCTGTTATTCATTTCTGATTTCTGATGAAGGTGTGGTGAGAAATTAACAGGCAGACAGACTGGATGGTTCTGCACCACTTGGTAGTAAACTGATGCATGACAAGCTAAGTGTTATCAAGGCCCTTTGGGAGTGAGTGAACAGTGTGAAGGCACAAGCAGATCATCTTAGTCTGAAGAGAATGATGCAATGGAGCATGACCAGGCAATCTGGCCAACACTCAACATGCAGACTAAAGATAAGACAGACATACAATCACACTGTTATTGCATAAACTGCAATCGGAATGTAAGGTTTAAATACCTCTTAAGTATTTTAACATTTCTTAACCTAATATTAACTATTACAGGAAAGTAATAAAACAATTTTATAATGTTTAGTTTCACAGTCTGCAATAGGAATGTAAGGTTTTACAAGCTGTAGTACAAATGTAAGATTTACTGTCTGTAACCTGAATTCCTGATTTCAGATCGTCAAAAGTAATGTAGGCAGCTAGAGTAACAACATTAATATAAATATTACAGTACAAAGTTAATATAAATATTAAAAAACTCCAATACAGTAGTAAATAATGCATCAATACATTCACAAATATGTAAGTGATATGGAAGAGTCACTGGAATGTAAAGTAAAAATGTATATCAACAGAGAGAAAAAAAAAATATCTTGGTATAAATTGTTAGAAAAAAAAGAAAGTAAAGGCCCCGGTTTCATGTAAAAGACCCTTTACCCATGCCTTCAGGCATACTGGGCACACAGGGCTAGACCTATACTTTATAGATCGGTCAGCACTCAGTGGATGATCTGGTCAACATTACACAGGCCACCTTCACCTCCCAAGACTTTACCTGGTACCTGTTTAAGACTGGGTCACCGTGTGAGCCAAGCAAGGTTATTTTCGAATGAAAGAAAAAAGCCGGCTCTTTTTTTGATTTGAACCCATGACTTTCCAATTCACAGGTGGGCATCTATCTGCTACACCACAGTGGTTTCCCTCATTTCCAAGCCTTGAAGAGTATTTAGAAATGTGATGGCAGCCTCCATATTTTTACAGAAACATCAGCACTTGCCAGGTGAGTGCTCAGTATGACATTGACCAGCCTTTACTTGCACAAACGTTTGCTTGTATCAATTATTTTTTTTCCGTACCCTTTACAGGACATTGCAGAAGTAACCACAGCATTGGCTGTTGTGGTTTTTCTAGGCAAATTTACATCCAGTAGTTTGCCATTGCTTTATGGGCGGTCGGCTTCTCGATACCACTGTCCAAACCAACACAAGGCCCGAGGCTGGGATCAAACCCGGCACCCCGGCATTACTAAGCACGTGTGCAACGCCTTAGCCACAGACGCCGACTGTACCAATTATAGGCTAGGTAAATATCTTCTTCTTCTTTGTTCGCCAGCTGTAAGCTCCTGCGGAAAGTCCTGGTCCTTCATCCATTTGTACTTTGGCTTTGTGCCAGGGCCTGAGTTTTGCGTTAGGTCAGTTTTATTGGCTTTAAACAAGAATAAACATAACAATCCTAGCACTTATCAAATCAAACATATACAAGACTGCTAAAATAATCAGAGAACAATATATTACCCTGAAGCAAGTTTAAAAAAAAAATGAATTTAAAGTATAAAGCTGAAAAAAAAACAAATATAATATATACAGATCAAAATATAAAATAATAAATTACAAAACAAAATGCTGAAAAGTGTACACAAATGAAACACCCGATTAAAAAAAAAATTTCACAAGTGGCTGATTTATGAGGTCAGTTAGTTTGAATTCAGATGCTGAAAGCATAAGCTGATATCCTTAAACTGTTCTGTTTTCATGAACTCTTTCATTCAAGATAGATCTTTACTCCAATGTCTTTGCTAGACTGTGAGCTGTTGTTCTCCCCATTTACTTAGGGAGCATGCTGCATGAGCAACACAAGATCTCTACACCATTGCCCGGGCTTCATGTTTTAGCTCTGTGGGGAGGAGAAACCTCACACCTGGCCTTCATTGCTATTGCTGTTCACACTTGAAACTCCAAAGGAAAGTTCTGATTTTTCATACTTCAGGAGTTTGGTCTTGTTCAAAAACTTTAGCATTGTGTGCACAGCCCTTTTACAGATCTGGGTTATATGTATGCAGACTGATGGTTAACTGTCTCTCAGGCATATGAACTCCATTTTCAAAGGGATAACATCTTTTATAGTCAACTCCTATGGCATGCTTGTGGGAGTGGGGGGGGGGGGGGGTTGGGAGTGGGGGTGGGGGGGGGTGGGAGAGGGGTGGGAGTGGGAGTGGGGAGTAGGAGTGGGGGAGTGGGGGTGGGGAGTGGGAGTTGGGGAGTGGGAGTTGGGGTGGGAGTGGGGGTGGGAGTGGGGGTGGGGTGGGAGTGGCGGTGGCAGTGGGTCCAAAACAGGGCCTAGATCTTAAACAGAGATTTAAAGTTGCCATCTGAATATGTCCAAGCATAGTATTAAAAAAAAATAAACTTCAAAACAATTTTGCGACAGCTGACACATTTCGGGAAGAAACTGTGGGAAAGAAAAGGAGTTAAATAACTAAATGACTTAGCCAGAGGTTATAACCAAGAAAAGAACACAAAACTGAGCCAAGACTGGTGATCATGCGAAATGGTGAATGACGACAGTGGACACTGATTTACACAGCACATGATAATGGTCAAGGAAAAAAACAATAAATAACAACAATCGGGACAAAATGTTTTACAAACAGGCAGAATTGCAAGACAATAAACTATAAAATTTGTTACTTTAACAAGATAATGCTATAGTGAAACTTTTGTTAACTTTAACATATCTATTTCATTTTCAGTTTACATATGTATGAAGAAAAATCTGGCACATTCTGTGAACTGTTGTATGCTTCAAGAGTCTAGAGTAATACACATGTATACGATCATGGCTTGCTGATTCTCTCTATCCTGACTTTATTCCTCTCTATCCTGCTTCTTTAATATTCTTTATCATGACTCTTTAAACCTCTCTATCATGACACTGGAAACTTTTCTACCCTGACTCTTTAATCCCGTGGGTCATGGGTTTTTAATCCCTCTCTATAATGACTGTTTAATTTTCTCTAACATGACTCTTGAAATCCTGTCTATCATGACTCTTTAATCTTCTCTATCATCTCTTCAATCATCTTATTCCTGACTATTTAATCCTCCTAATCCTAATTCTTTAATCCCTTATAACACCTGATATTTCAATGTTCAGCACCAGATTGTCCAACAGGTGGGCAACCTAATGATGACAAAGAAGTTTAAAATGTCAGTTTATTCTTTAGACTTAACATTCTAACTGTGAACACTGTTCTTCTGATCTGGCCACTTTTGCAACATGCTGTGTTTCAAATATGTTGTTATTGCCTTTCTTTTGAAGTAAACAAGGCAGGTTAAGAGAGGGATCATGTTGCAAGGGCAACACATGGTAAACAAAATACTGCCCAGGTGTCATGGAGCCGGCCTAACTAGTGACACTCACCATCACCATGGGCTTATGATTCTCATGCCTCCCCCTCTTGTACTACATCTTCTTCTTCTTGTCCCTTGGGTGTAAACTCCAGCCGGAAGTTCTGGTTGTTCATCCACCTCTGAACTTTAGTCTTGTTCCAGAATTGAGTTTTTCTGCATGCATATCCATTTTAACAGATCTGGTTTTTTTGTATGCAGGCTGTTGGTTCCTTGACTCTCAGGGGGATGCACTCTGACATAGAAGTAGAGTTAAGTAAAGGACTCTTTTCCATGCTTTTAGGTGTATTGGGTATATAGGGCTAGACCTTTTACTGTATAAAGACCAAACGGCACTTGGTGGGTGATGTGGTCAGTGTCACGCTGGCCACTTTTACTTCCCAGGAGTGTACCTGGTACCCACTCAAGCTGGGTCAACCTGGAAGCCAAAGTCATTTTTGAAAAAGCCTGGACCCTTTCAGGACCTGAACTCATGATCTTCTGATCTGTAGGCAAGCATCCAGCTGCTAGACCCTCTGGTTCCCTCTGACTTAGAAGGCAATCCCTAATTAGTTAACTCTTATGACATGCTTGTTAAAGAGGTAGTGGAACTATTCTTGTGTTTCCCTACAACAGGACCCCAGAATCCACATGGGAAAAGTACTGATTAACACTATAGTTGAGAAAGATGGAAAAGTCGGGAAAAAAACATTCAAATTGAATAGGCCAGATTTTTCGGCATTTACATTCTAATAATTATTCAACATTGCCTGTTAAACTATTCAATGTATACATTTAGCTACTTTTCGTCGATAACCCTGGCAACATCTTAGTTCCACTGATAGTGGCTACTGTTGCGGCTAACATTGTGGTGGTAGCCATTTTGATGTGCGCTTTGGCGGACATAGTTGCTACTGCCCATGCTTGAGTTGTGGTAACTGCTAGAGTTGTGGAAGTTGGTGTTGTTGGGGCTGACAAGATGGTGGTGGTGGCCGCTGCCCGTAAAGCTGGCTTCATGAAGAACCTGCTCCAATTCTTGTTGAGTGTCCAAGATGTGCACTTGGAAAGGAGAGCCTGGGACATCAACACCAGACCATCTGGAGAACACAAATTTGGTGGTTAGTTTATAGAGAAGCTTCATAGAGAAACTTCATAGAGAAACTTCTAGCGAAACTTCATAGAGAAACTTCATAGAGAAACTTCTAGAGAAACTTCTAGAGAAACTTCTAGAGAACCTTCTAGAGAAACTTCATAGAGAAACTTTATAGAGAAACTTCATAGAGAAACTTCATAGAGAAACTACATAGAGAAACTTCATAGAGAAACTTCATAGAGAAACTACATAAAGAAACTACATAAAGAAACTTAATAGAGAAACTTCTAGAGAAACTTCATAGAGAAACTTCATAGAGAAACTTCATACAGAAACTTCATAGAGAAACTTTATAGAGAAACTACACAGAGAAACTTTATAGAGAAACTTCACAGAGAAACTTCACAGAGAAACATTGACTATTTCAGACCCGAGCAGTTGTTTCTTTAACTCTTTTCATTGAAAGAAGTTTAGCTTAAAAGTGACAAAAACTTTGAATTAGTCAATCAGTCATCAGCTTGTCATTTACAGAATGTTGCTCTCATCACGGCACACCTGAAAGTCTCTTTCTCTAGCCAGTTCTCCAGCCTATGTGCTTTCATAGCCAATGCATCTTCAATGTCCTGTATCCATTGGCCTCTCTAAACCACTTTCATCTTAGGGTTTCTTTTGGATGTCCTTGCTTTCTCAATGCCTTTATTTCCCATCTCAGTGCCTGTTTTATAATTCTCTGCTAATTTCTTCTCAGGATGGGACCAATATAGTGCTAAATTCTTTGTTTTAATATTGGCCGCAAGGAGAAGGTATGGGCTCAAGGACTTGGTGACGACTGGCAAGATTGATGGGAAAAAGCAAGGAGAAGGTATGGACTCAAGGACTTGGTGACGACTGGCAAGAATGATGGGAAAAAGCAAGGAGAAGGTATGGACTCAAGTACTTGGTGACGACTGGCAAGAATGATGGGAAAAAGCAAGGAGAAGGTATGGACTCAAGGACTTGGTGACGACTGGCAAGAATGATGGGAAAAAGCAAGGAGAAGGTATGGACTCGAGGACTTGGTGACGACTGGCAAGAATGATGGGAAAAAAAGCAAGAAGAAGGTAAAAGATAAATACTTGGATAGCGAAGCCATATGGATGAGATAAAACAAGTACACAGATCTAATCCATGATTCTGGGATTGTTTGAGGCAGTGAAACATAAACACCTTATGCTTATCAGCATAGAATTCGATAATGAAAAAACACTGAAAAGATATTAAACAGACAAGTCCCTTACCTGACGCTGATGATGTAGAGACCAGTGACCGATGGGTAGTAGCGGCAAAGAATAGTTCTGTCCTTCTGGCTTTCTCTGTACATCTCCACTTGGAAAGCACCTGAAATATGCATTTATTCCACTTGAAATAATTTATATCTATTAAAAAAAAGTCTTTGGCTTTCTGACTGGAAAGACACCATAAAGTTACACAAATTCCACTTGAAATAATTTATTCCTATAAAAAAAATTGAAAGTCTCTGGCTTTCTCTTACATCTCCTCTTCGAAAGCACCTGAAAATTAGTTAATTCAACATGAAATAACTGATCACAATAAGTTCCAAATACACAGACGGACAGATTACATATAGCATAGTGTTATAGATTACATATAGCATAGTGTTATAGATCACATACAGCATAGTGTTATAGATCACATACAGCATAGTGTTATAGATCACATACAGCATAGTGTTATAGATCACATACAGCATAGTGTTATAGATCACATACAGCATAGTGTTATAGATCACATACAGCATAGTGTTATAGATCACATACAGCATAGTGTTATAGATCACATACAGCATAGTGTTATAGATCACATATAGCATAGTGTTATAGATCACATACAGCATAGTGTTATAGATCACATACAGCATAGTGTTATAGATCACATACAGCATAGTGTTATAGATCACATAAGGAGAATCTCAACATAACGCTTGACAACTCAGGACCTGTGAGGATCGAGAGATGAATTTACATATATGTGTGTGTGTGTGTGTGTGTGTGTGTGTGTGTATATATATATATATATATATATATATATATATATATATATATATATATATATATATATATATATATATATATATATATATATATATATATATATCGCTCTCGTCACACGCCTGAAGTTTTTCTTTCTTTAGCCAATTTATCAGCCCTGTGTGTTTTCATAGCCATTGCATCATCAATGTCCTCTATTCACCGCTGCGGAGGTTAGCCTCTGCCTTATTTTCCGCAGACCGTACCCTCCATCAATGTTCTGTCCAGACCAACATGGTGTTTGTCACAAGTCCAAAATACCTCAGCTTGTATGAGTGGACAAACAACCGGAACTTTCCGCCAGAGTTTACAGCCAGTGAGTGCCAAGAAGAAAAAAAAGAAGGGTGCACAATTTTCAACCAGAGGTACCCAGTGCCCAATGTCAACTGTGATAACATAACTGAGATATACCTTTAGGGCCTCTAATTCTGACTGTCAGCTGGCCTGCTCCGGCTCCCTTGGTTTCTACAAAGAACTGACTCTGGAAGTTTGCCAGGATGCCATGTTCTACTCCTGGACCACTGACCCTGACCTTGGAGGCATCAGGCTGCCCTGCTATTTTGAATTTAAAAGGACTTCCTGAAAGAAAAAAAATGCAGAAAACATAATTAATATTTTTATATACATATGGAGGAAAATTCAACAGCTAACTATTTTCAACAAGGCATTAGAGGAATGTGTATGGTATGCCAGGAATATCAGTTAGTGGACTTATTGTTAACAGCCTGCAATATGCTGACGATATAGTTTTGATCGCTGAAAATGAAACACAACTGCAGCAAATGATGGATATAATTGTAATGGAAAGTGAAAACAAGGGTCTTAGTTTGAACAGCAGAAAAACATAAGTAATGGTAATTACAAAGAAAACTGACTCTCCAACATTAAAGTAAATTGGACAAACCTCAAGCAAGTTGATATGTTTAAGTATTTGGGTAATCTGATAACATCAGATGGAAGATGTATTAAAGAAGTGCAATGTAGAATAACTTAAGCAAAGGCAGCATTTTACAAAATGAAGAATATTTTAAGCAATCTTTCTTTGTCAACTGAGACGAGAAAGAGAATTCTTAAAAGCTATATAAATCCTATATTGATATACAAATGTGAAACATGGACAGTTAGTAAATTAGTGAAAACTTATTTGAAAGCCGCAGACATGTGGTTTTATAGACGAATGAAGAAAATACCCTGGACAGATAAAAAGAGTAAGGAAGATGTCTTGAAAGAAACTGGCTCATGAAGAGATCTGATTGCCCACATCAGAAGGAGACAATCTACCACATCAGAAGGAGACAATCTACATTCTTTGGTCATGTGATAAGAAGGAGAAAACTGGAGTACATCGTGACGGTGGGAAAGTTGGAGTGGAGGAGAGGCAGAGGGAGATTTAAAGAACAGATGCTTGACAGTCTGATATCATGGCATGGAAAATTATCTGTGTCAGAGTTGACTGAAAGTACACAAGACAGAAGGCTGTGAACAGACATGACAACCAACGCCACATGGCATGGACTATGGAAGATCATCTGTGTCAGAGTTGACTAAAAGTACACGAAACAGAAGGTTGTGAACAGACATGACAACCAACGCCACATGGCATGGACTATGGAAGATCATCTGTGTCAGAGTTGACTAAAAGTAAACGAAACAGAAGGATGTGGATAGACATGACTACCAATGCCACACAGCATGGACTATGGAAGAGCATTTGTGTCAGAATTGACTGAAAGTACACAAGACAGAATGTTGTGGATAGACATGACTACCAACGCCACACGGCATGGACTATGGAGGATCATCTGTGTCAGAATTGACTGAAAGTACACAAGACAAAAGGTTGTGGATAGACATGACTACCGACCATACACAGCATGGACTTTTGGAAGAACAACTATATTCTGAAGCACAAATTTTCCACAACTAAAAACAGTCATCTTCTGCCCTGGAAGTCATGTGTTTAATAAATTTCCAACTGTCTTACTACCGTCTCTCGGTTCACGTCTTCCGTTCCAGTCTCACACTTTTCTTGTATCCCTTATTCGCTCACCACAGGATACTCGAGACCCACTTATCTCATTTTCCTCTTGTATCACTGGTCCTCTGACCTTGTCTTCCCCATCGGGAACTCTCTGGGATTTTCTCGGGAATTCACAACATTACACCCACTGATGAAAACCTTTGACAATTCTTGTATCCTCCTTGTTTGGTTTTTGCTTGTGGTTGGTATTTTATAGGATGAGCTGAGTTGTGAATCTACATCACAGCACTCAGGATATTCTCATAAGTGCTTACTCCCCATCTTCAGCAGCCAGTGTTCAGTCTAAGAATTTCAGAAATCTGATGGCACCAGTAAAAGTATGACTGTATGTAGTTCTGCCATGTACCATTAGAAGTCTGACTGATGCACAACAAACAATGTAATATATGTTTCTGAGTGCATTTACTCATATGCACCAGTAGAATATAAATGTATATTTTATGTTAAGACAGGACATAGTAAAACACCCGACAACACACCAGACTCCTACAAGGGTTGGGACAATAAAACACCCATTGTGTATTCAGCTCGTGTGAATGCAGTGTACCCATGATTTTGTTGCTGTCATTGTTGACTGTTTTGAGTGTCAGCTATGATCTTCTAGGACTCAAAGAGTTCAAGAATACCCACATGATCTTCTAGGACTCAAAGAGTTCAAGGACACCCACATGATCTTCTAGGACTCAAAGAGTTCAAGGACACCCACATGATCTTCTAGGACTCAAAGAGTTCAAGAATACCCACATGATCTTCTAGGACTCAAAGAGTTCAAGGATACCCACATGATCATCTGGGACTCAAAGAGTTCAAGGATACCCACATGATCTTCTGAGACTCAAAGAGTTCAAGGACACCCACAGGATCTTCTGGGACTCAAAGAGTTCAAGGACACCCACATGATCTTCTAGGACTCAAAGAGTTCAAGGACACCCACATACACTGGAGATGAACGTGCTTACCTTGTACATTCTCCCCGCCATATTTGATCTGTAGAGTGTGACGGCCAGTTTCTTGGGGTCGTATCACCAGGCTGTAGATGCCATCATGATGGTCTTGTAGCTCGCAGTAAGCAACTTTCGTCGGGCCCATGCAGTACGCAGTCAGCTCCCCTGTTTTGAAATGATGGATTCAGTGAGATTTGTATATTGTATATTGCCCTTTCAGCATTAACTCTTTTCATCCCAAGCAACATATAATGTCCCCAAATTTCAATCTTCTGATTAGGTTCTCTTTCTTCTTCTGCGTTTACCCTCAAAACACTGATTAACTCTTTGAGTCCCAGAGGGTTTAGCATCACAGGCCCAAGGAGTAGTCAAAAGAGACATAAAATCGGCGCCTCATACGTTCATTGGGCTTCTAGACAGTAACCTATGAATGTATGATGCGTTCCTTGGGACTCAGAGTTAAAGCTGATTAAGACAGTTACACTTGGACAGTCAATATTTACTGAATATATTATGAGATGGAAAGGATGTGAGAACTTGGTAACAACCGCCAAAATTGATGGAAAGACAGCAAGAGGAAGGCAAAGAAACAAATACCTGGATGGCTCCACCAGATGGATGGAGCAAGACAAAAAACATTGATCTGATCTGTGATCCTGGTGATCATGTCAGATGGTAAAACTTTATAACTCACACTACCACAGCACATGATGAAAATGATCAACAAACACATTCTATCCGACCTTCAGTGTGAAGACAGCACACAACCAATAGTTTTAATAAGTTTTTTTATTATTTATTTTTAAAGTATCCAGAAGCCATGAGTTGTTAACCTTTAGGCTCGATATTATGGATATCGCAACTATTCAGCCTTGATTTCACGACAGATACCGTAAATCTGGGAGAAATGTGGCTTTTCTGCCTACCGCCGGGCGTGAACCCGGACCACAAGGAGTTCGTCACCCGGTCGCCTCAAAGTCATGTTTTAGCCAACTACACTAGTGAGCCGGGCAGTGTTAATAAGTAACATGGACTAAGTAACATTGACTGAATTAAAAAGTAACACCACTGATAATTAGTAACATTTTTACAGTTGAAAAAACATTTTAAAATCTTTACCAGGTCCTGCTTTTCTGGTATCAATACGGAAGTTCAAGCTCTGACCAAGGAGGCCCCCATTCAATCCATCACCGTTGACAACCACACGATCCGGGTAGGAGGCTCCAATGACATTGACCTTATATGGGGCACCTCGGAGCTGTTGTTGAATGAAGAAAACATCAAATGTTACTGTTAACAAGAAGAGACAAGTTCAGTGCAAGAGTGGAGGCTAAGATACAGAGACAAGTTAACAGTAAGATAGAAGATAACAGCAACATACATGTTAATAAAAACAGACAAGTTAACAGTAAGATTGAAGTTAACAGCAACACACATGTTAATAAAAACAGATAAGTTAACAGTAAGATAGAAGTTAACAGTAACATACATGTTAATAAAAACAGACAAGTTAACAGTAAGATAGAAGTTAACAGCAACAGACATGTTAATAAAAACAGACAAGTTAACAGTAAGATAGAAGTTAACAGCAACAGACATGTTAATAAAAACAGACAAGTTAACAGTAAGAAAGAAGATAACAGCAACAGACATGTTAATAAAAAAAGACAAATTATCAGTAAGAGAGAAGTTAACAGCAACATACATGTTAAAAAAAAACTGACAAGTTGGCAGCAAGTTCACTGCAGAAGGCAACATATTGAATTAACAAGAGAATTAAACAGCACAATGCAAGTTAACAGCAAAGAACATTTTAACAATGAGAGAAAAGTTAGAAATGGGAGACAGAGTAACAGCAAAGGACAAATTAACAGCAAGGGAAAAATTTACAGCAAAGGGGGTAAAGCTCACAGAAAGGGACACATATTAAAGTTAAAAAGAGAATGTAAATAATACGGACACAAACAATACATTGCACAATTTATTGCCAGGCATATTTCGTTGCAGGTCTGAATTTTTCTTCACAAGAGACTGTGCCTTAGCCTGTATGTCCTGTAGTGACAGTATCCCAAGGTCTAGGAAGTTGTCAGAGTGACAGCCACGTCAACCATGAGAGTGGATCTCGCGATTGCGTACTGATAGCCCGCGATAGCCACCAGAACATAGCTGTGACAGGAGAAGTCCTTCAGAGCAGCGCTTCAAATGCTGGCATGGGCAGCAGGGAGAATGACAGCAGTATTGTGTATTCTATATGTGTCATGATGCAAACCATTTCTTGATGTCAGTGTCTGATTACAATGTATAGTCTTTGACGGTAGACCTGTAAAGGTAAAGGTAAAGTCGCAGATGTGAACCAGCGTCACTGCACACAGTTATAAACCATAAGTGCTCTGCCACCAGTACGGACAGATGATAAGAATTGTCCGCCTGTGGCTCTGTTCACATATAACTCTGTAGCTACAGCGACGTTCCTCCATTTACCCCAGAGTGTCAACACTGGTACCCATTTCCTAGAGGCTGGGTGAACCCCGGGAACCACCCGGTTTCGAACACCAACCGTGGGCTGCAGCGAGTCGCAGCTGGATTTGAAACAAGCCTCTTATCAACTGCGCTAACGCGGCCCCCCCTAACACGGCAGACCTGTGTTCACAGTTACCTGCTACTGTTGGGTGGGAGCTGCAGCTTGAGACTATTGACACTACTGCACAAACCCTAGTCAGCTTGGCAAGTGTGTGTCTCCCTGGTTCGGTACAAGTTTGTAGGGAGCCTGAACACGCACACATCACTGGGCTCTTCTACTTCTCTCCCCACTCTCTAGCTTTCTAGGCATCTCCTCTTCTCAGTCTCTCTACTACCAGCTGAAGAGGGCATCAAACAGAAAGCATGCACTCCATAACTCTGGCAATGATTAATTTTTTTTAAAGAACAAAATCCACAGAAACAATTCTTTCAATGCAGGAAGTAAATGATCAAAGGGGGCAGTAGGTTTGTTCACCCCTACCCCACCATCCCCAAAACATGGGGCCCTAGAGCCCGTATTTGCAGGAATTGTTACCAGAAATGTTGGTCCCTCACATTTTCCCATGATCTCTGGGACATTAAGACTAGATGTCAAACATTCCCAGACAAAAGGGGGAAACTGACATCAAGAGAACACAAGAAAAACCAGACATTTTGACCAGAACCTTTCTTGACAAAAACCACAACAACAGGGGACACAGTATTCTGGCCAAAAGTCTCCACATGGGGGGGGGGGGGGGTATCATGCAAATAACTATTAAATATAGGAAGAGGAAAGGGTTATGTGGAACAAATAAACTAAATGGATTTGCATTCATATCACATAGCATGCCTTGAAAAATAGAAATTAGTATGATAGGTGTAGACTGGTGTAGACTGGTGTAGAGTGGTGTAGACTGGTGTAGAGTGGTGTAGACTGGTGTAATACTTAATAAGCAATAGACCAGGGCTATTCAACGAAGTTTACTCAAGGGCCACAACTAGAAAAGTTGGGCTCATCACGGGCCATAGATCAGAGCCCCAGCATAGAAAAATCCTTAATAGAATGTAGCTGACAATGATCCAGATGAATAGCCCTGCAATAGATCATAACTTATTTAGCTTAGATGTAAGTTTGGCACTGCGGCATTCTATCATTTATTTCCCATCAGCTGTATACACAGACAGAAGAAGAACCACTGAGTACCTGGCGGCCATTCCAGGAGATGTTCAATAAGTAGGCTCCAGGAATAACAGGAATGTAAGTGCATCGGTACTTTCCACCTCCAAGTGGGGTTGTGATAACTGGAATCTCGGCTCTCACACCTGTCAGCTCTACATCTGGTTCACCTGTCAGGTAAAAGACATTCACTCACTCAGTACACAATGCATTTTAACTCTGTTGCTTGAGAAGCAGCCAACGTGGCAATTCCATATTGTGACTATTAGTGTGAGAATTTTTAGAGGATGTGACTTTTAGTGTTCTCGACTTAAGTGTGACTGAAGTGTGAAAATCACTTTTCATTTAAGGATGAAAAAAGATTAAAAACAGTGTATGGACTAAAAAAGGAAAAGAAGACACATTCCCATAAATGCTGCAGGGCTGCAGTGATCTGTCCCCGAGAGGCCTAGCTAACAGTGCTGGATGCAGTGATTTGTCCCCTAGAGGCCTAGCTAACAGTGCTGGATGCAGTGATTTGTCCCCGAGAGGCCTAGCTAACAGTGCTGGATGCAGTGATTTGTCTCCAAGAGGCCTAGCTAATAGTGCTGGATGCAGTGATTTGTCCCCGAGAGGCCTAGCTAACAGTGCTGGATGCAGTGATTTGTCCCCGAGAGGCCTAGCTAATAGTGCTGGATGCAGTGATTTGTCCCCGAGAGGTCTAGCTAACAGTGCTGGATGCAGTGATTTGTCTCCAAGAGGCCTAGCTAACAGTGCTGGATGCAGTGATTTGTCCCCGAGAGGCCTAGCTAATAGTGCTGGATGCAGTGATTTGTCCCCGAGAGGTCTAGCTAACAGTGCTGGATGCAGTGATTTGTCCCCGAGAGGCTAGCTAACAGTGCTGGATGCAGTGATTTGTCCCCGAGAGGCCTAGCTAATAGTGCTGGATGCAGTGATTTGTCCCCGAGAGGCCTAGCTAACAGTGCTGGATGCAGTGATTTGTCCCCTAGAGGCCTAGCTAATAGTGCTGGATGCAGTGATGTGTCCCCGAGAGGCCTAGCTAACAGTGCTGGATGCAGTGATTTGTCCCCTAGAGGCCTAGCTAACAGTGCTGGATGCAGTGATTTGTCCCCTAGAGGCCTAGCTAATAGTGCTGGATGCAGTGATTTGTCCCCTAGAGGCCTAGCTAACAGTGCTGGATGCAGTGATTTGTCCCCTAGAGGCCTAGCTAATAGTGCTGGATGCAGTGATTTGTCCCCGAGAGGCCTAGCTAACAGTGCTGGATGCAGTGATTTGACCCCTAGAGGCCTAGCTAACAGTGCTGGATGCAGTGATTTGACCCCTAGAGGCCTAGCTAATAGTGCTGGATGCAGTGATTTGTCCCTGAGAGGCCTAGCTAACAGTGCTGGATGCAGTGATTTGTCCCCTAGAGGCCTAGCTAACAGTGCTGGATGCAGTGATATGTTCCCTAGAGGCCTAGCTAACAGTGCTGGATGCAGTGATATGTCCCCTAGAGGCCTAGCTAACAGTGCTGGATGCAGTGATCTATCCCCTAGAGGCCTAGCTAACAGTGCTGGATGCAGTGATTTGTCCCTGAGAGTCCTAGTTAACAGTGCTGGATGCAGTGATTTGTCCCTGAGAGTCCTAGTTAACAGTGCTGGATGCAGTGATTTGTCCCCAAGAGGCCTAGCTAACAGTACTGGATGCAGTGATTTGTCCCCTAAATATAAGGCCCAGATATAAATATATTTACAGTAAATTGCTTCTAGGCGATTTCCAGTGAACAAAATGGCTCTGCTAGAGCTTTTCTGACATCATAATCTGCCTATATCCGTAATGTTAGAATCCTGGTGAGGTCACAGAGTCATGATATGAATCACCTGATAAGATTTTTGAAGATCCCAGGGAAAGTATTCAATTTAACATAACACCAGGACCATCAAATCTAAAGAAGCGTAGAAGATCTGAAGAAAACAGTTCTGATATGTTGAGTGCATGACATGGCACTGTGAACTGCAGATTTCATTTGGAATGTTTTGTGACTGTGTTTGACAATGTTTGCATTGTGGAATGCAGAGTCAGTAAATGATAGGTGGCCTGTTGTCACAGAACTGGTGGTGCCTTATGCACCGCTCTGCATGCAACAGCTGATTTCTTGTGACCCCCTACTTCCATCAGTGATGAACTACAATTCTGGTAGTGGCCTGTTGCCACTTCTGATGGCTGCCTTACGCATTTAATAAGTGTGTATGCTACTGGCTTTGCCTGTCCCCACTTGGGTTCCAGGGTCCCATTTGGGGAGACGGGGGGGGGGGGGGGGGGGGGGGGGGGGGGGGGGGGGGGGGGGGGGGGGAGGGGGACAGACCCACTGCACCCAAAAAGCACGTCATGAAGGTTGATTAATTAGAGGTGTTTCCTTCAAAGTCAGAGCATGTCTGCCTGAGAGGTGAAGAACCAACAGTCTGCTTATAAATAAACCCAATCTGTCAAACGGATGTGCATGCAAACTCTAGTTCTGGAGCATGACTAAAGTCCAGAAGTGAAGAATAAGAAGAAGGCTTTGCCGAGATTGCAATCTGCTTCACCTCTCCCTCTCCCTCTCTCTCTCTCTCTTTCTCTCTCTCTTCTCTCTCTCTCTCTCTCTCTCTCTCTCTCTCTCTCTCTCTCTCTCTCTCTCTCTCTCTCTCTCTGTTTGAAACAGCGAAGGACATTCTGAAGGACAGTAATGAGGTGACACATCTGCCATGAAGTTGGAACTGCAAATAACTAAATAACTTAGCTCTGCGCTTGTGGAAAACATAACCTCAGATAATAGCTGATTCCAAAAATTTGACAAAAATAAAAAAGAAAACAATAATAGTCAGTTAGTTTGTCAACAGATCATCCTCAGCCCATAGGTGCTTGGATCCCCTCCACAGTAAATCCCATAGTGTGAAGCGGCTGACAACAACAGTTTGGTAATGGTTTCTTATTCCGCTTTGGCTTCCTGCCTAGTTCTCCTTTCTGGTCACGCTCCTTTTAACATGGTGTTCTTGCAGTCTGGTCATGGTTGCAGATTCAGCCATCACTTGGTTCTTGCAAACGTCTCAGTTCTCATAGAACCTTCAGTATATCAGCCTGGATCCGTGGCTCATCTGCACTTTACAGTAACTTCACCTACTCATTTCCTTGCACATCTGCATGAACGCACAAAAATCAAACTGATCTTTGTCAGCCCTGACCCCTGTCTTCGGACCCAGCCTATCTCTATCTTCCTGGGCAGACTCATGGAGTCAGACCCCTGTGTTTGGACCCAGCCTATCTCTATCTTCCTGGGCAGACTCATTGAGTCAGACCCCTGTCTTCGGACCCAGCCTATCTCTATCTTCCTGGGCAGACTCATGGAGTCAGACCCCTGTCTTCGGACCCAGCCTATCTCTATCTTCCTGGGCAGACTCATGGAGTCAGACCCCTGTCTTCGGACCCAGCCTATCTCTATCTTCCTGGGCAGACTCATGGAGTCAGACCCCTGTGTTTGGACCCAGCCCATCTCTATCTTCCTGGGCAGACTCATGGAGTCAGACCCCTGTGTTCGGACCCAGCCCATATCTATCTTCCTGGGCAGACTCATGGAGTCAGACCCCTGCCTTTGGACCCAGCCTATCTCTATCTTCCTGGGCAGACTCATGGAGTCAGACCCCTGTCTTCGGACCCAGCCTATCTCTATCTTCCTGGGCAGAGTCATGGAGTCAGACCACTGTCTTCGGACCCAGCCTATCTCTATCTTCCTGGGCAGACTCATGGAGTCAGACCCCTGTCTTTGGACCCAGCCTATCTCTATCTTCTTGGGCAGACTCATGGAGTCAGACCCCTGTGTTCGGACCCAGCCCATCTCTATCTTCCTGGGCAGACTCATGGAGTCAGACCCCTGTGTTTGGACCCAGCCCATCTCTATCTTCCTGGGCAGACTTATGGAGTCAGACCCCTGTCTTTGGACCCAGCCCATCTCTATCTTCCTGGGCAGACTCATGGAGTCAGACCCCTGTCTTCGGACCCAGCCTATCTCTATCTTCCTGGGCAGACTCATGGAGTCAGACCCCAGTCTTTGGACCCAGCCTATCTCTATCTTCCTGGGCAGACTCATGGAGTCAGACCCCTGTCTTCGGACCCAGACTATCTCTATCTTCCTGGGCAGACTCATGGAGTCAGACCCCTGTCTTCGGACCCAGCCTATCTCTATCTTCCTGGGCAGACTCATGGAGTCAGACCCCTGTCTTCGGACCCAGCCTATCTCTATCTTCCTGGGCAGAGTCATGGAGTCAGACCCCTGTCTTCGGACCCAGCCTATTTCTATCTTCCTGGGCAGACTCATGGAGTCAGACCCCTGTGTTTGGACCCAGCCCATCTCTATCTTCCTGGGCAGACTCATGGAGTCAGACCCCTGTGTTTGGACCCAGCCTATCTCTATCTTCCTGGGCAGACTCATGGAGTCAGGGGCAGACTCATGGAGTCAGGAAAGGACAACAACCAGAACTCACCTGGACCAGCTTGACTGCCATCGATAGTGAACTCTGCCTCTTCCTTAACAACAGCCTCCTTCAAACCTCGACCAGTGAGCCACACTTTGCTGGGGTCAGCCGCTCCACCTGTGGCGTAGCCCAGGTAGGGAGAGTTGACCAAGGGGTGGTCTGACCAGTGCAGGTAAATGTAGTGGTTGCCTGTAGATGGAGTGAAACAATTAATTCTTTTAGTCCTAAGGAATGTATCATATATTCATAGGTTTCTACCCAGGAGCTCAATTAACGCAAGATGTATCAATTTTATGTCTCTTTTTACTACCCTTTGGGCCTCTGATACTAAGCCTCCTGCCATCTTCTGATCTCTTCTGACTTTCTGATCTCTGGGTGTCACAACTTTTCATGAATCTTCATGTCAAAACCTTTTTATAGTACTGCCCCATATTTTGCCCACCATAGACCAGACAAGTAATTAATAAACTTACCTTCCTCTCTAGGTGTGAACTTAACAACACTTCTTCCTTTGTGTGAATCATCGACTTCGACGGGAAGCAGTGAACTTGGGCTTTTGATCTCTGCCCTCAACTGACCTGGCAAGAGGACGTAATTTCATTTGTTAATTCAAAAATTTTGCGAAATAATGCAAAAAGTGTGGCTTTGCTTCCAAATAATCGAGACAGTCTAAATGAAACAATTACAATTTTCAATGAGCTTATATTATCATCATCCTCAACATCACTAAATTATCATCATCATCATTATCGTCAATATCTTCATCAACATCATAACAGCAACAACAACATGAACACTAACATCATCAACATTGTCATCAACATCACCATCATTGGTATCATCATCCTCCTGTCAAGAGCATCGAGCCACCTGCTGAGAGCATCACACAGAGCACACAAACTCTGTAGCTTTATTGACAATCCCCATAAAAGTGCACTCATAAATTGAAATTTCTTCTTCTTCATCACTAATTTAAATGGCCAAACTGCATTGTGCCTGTTTATATCACAGCTGCAATATTTGCACCTTTCAGCTGACACACCCAGCTTTGTCAGGAATTTGTTTACCATGTTACCCTTCCCTGGTAAACTGAAATGAACTCACTACCTTCAGAGTGCAATTCAAACAGCCTGACCACTCCACCATGGAACAAACAGACTTTTATTTTCAAAGGGCTCAGAATTGGGCATCTAGGCACATTCTAACATTCTGCACTTCCAATTTCACTCCTTGCAGACGGTTATTCCTTCATACACAAGGGGATCTGGCTAACGTTTGACACTCATGGTAAAGGCGAGACGGATATACAATCAGACAGTTACTGGTACCATTGGAATTTAACTCTTCTCTTGCTGCTGAAGATGGGGATTGGAGCACTTATGGGGGTGCCCCGAGTGCTGTGATGTCGATTCTTAATTCAGCATTCAAGAAAATTCAACATTCCTTCATACATCATTTCACAGGGAATAATAACAATTTTCATTGGCATCTAGGTCCTAATTACAAATGCAGAAATGTGCTCTAATCATACATACATTACTAAATGAAAACAATTTCATTATATAAATCTAATCCAGTAATCTTATAAAGCTAAAAGATGGCATCCTGGGTAACCGTTGTGGTGTAGCAGTAGACACTCGCCTGCATATCCGAAAATTGGGGATTTAGATCTGAACGAAGTCTGAACTTTAAAAAAAAAAAATGACCTTGGCTCCCAAACTGACCAAGCCTTAAATGGGTGCCAGGTAAAGTCCTGGGGAGTAAACGCAACTGGAATGATGCTAAATGCATCACCCACCAAATGTCGATTGGTCTATAAAATATATGTCTATGACTAAATGTCCAATTCCTCTGAAGGCATGGAAATGGGGTCCTATACTTTACTTGGGTAACATACTGGAGGGCCCCCCCCCCCCCCCGATGTGCGATGTGCCAGCAGACATAAAACTTTGGATGCTCTATTCTGCTGTTTGAAATCAGTTTGAATTCAGTTTGAATAATGGGAAGACAGAAGTAATGGTGGTATCAAAGAAACACATTATTCCTAAATGTGTAATAAAAGTCGATGGTGTTAATTTAGGACAAGTACAGAAATTTAAGTATCTGGGCACATGGATAACATCAAATGGAAGATGCATAACTGAGATTAGAAACAGAATAGGACAGGCAAAAACTGCATTTTATAAAATGAAAAACATCTTGTGCAATATATCCGTGCCATTGAGAGTTAGAAAAAGAATACTTGGTTGCTACATACATCCAGTTTTAACACATGGCTGTGAATCCTGGACAATCGGTAGGTAGGCCAAACAATTTCTTGAGGCCTCAGAGATGTGGTTTTACAGATGAATGCTTACAATACTTTGGACAGCCAAAAAGAGCAACCAAGAGGTTTTGAAAGAGGCGCGAGCCCGAAGGCAACTTATCACAGACATCAGAAGGAGACAGTCATCGTTTTTCGGCCATGTTATGAGAAGAGGGAAAATAGAACATGTTGTGACCACTGGAAAGATCTGTGGAAGGAGGGATAGAGAAAGACAACAAGAGAAGATGCCTGACAGTCTTGTTGCATGGCATGGAGGTGTGTCGGCACACAAACTGATACATGCTAGAGGAAATGGCAGATTATGGAGAGGCATGATCGCCCACGCCAGTCGGCAAGGCACCTATTGATGATGATGATTCTGCTGTACTGTTTACTTGACCCCAGAGAGGCTACATTAAGTCACATTTATTGTAAAGTAGCAATAACACTTTTACTCAATCTCTGAAGACACAATTTGAGCTTTAAAAACTGAAATGCTACAGAAAATTCTTAGGACCAATAACAAGAAATACTGACATTTTAAAAGATGTGAACATCGAGGAAGATTTGCTCATTAAACGCAATCCTGTCTCAAAAGGTGGGGTATTTTGGCCATATTAAGCACCATGATGAGTTAGAAAAAAAATAACACGCCAATGCATGCTACCAGGAAGGAGGAGCAGGGGCCGACCTACAAAAATATGGGCACATTATATAAGAGACTTTTTGAATATGGAAGTGGAAGAGATGGGATAGCTGGCAAGAGACCAAGTTTCTTTTAAGCAGACCGTGATGACAGCGACATTCTGCAAAGGACCTGCTACATGATGATGATGATGATGAAGCATTATGATGGTGGCCTGGAGTGAATGGTGATGGAGTGTGCATTTTCCGGAAAGCAGGGCAAATTCAGCCTCAATGAAGATGAAACGGCTACGAAAGCACACAGTGCAAAAAAATCTGGCTAGAGAAAGAAATACTTACAGGTGTGCCAGGGAGAAAGAGACAAACTGTAGAGTACCCGATGATTGATGATGAGCAATAAAATGATAAAGATGTTAAACTAACCAGGTCCTGCTTCTGATGTATCGAAGGGGATCTTCTTTTCCTCTCCAACCACAAGATGGATGCGCTCTTGTCCATCCATGTAATGCTGCCAGCCTCCGACAACTTTGACCTTTCTGGGATCCACAACTTGTGGGTGGAAGGGGCTTCCTGTTGGTTGAAAAATTTGTTAACAGAGTTAGTTCATTTGTTGAAAATTGATTTCACTCGTTAAAAGATTAGGCTTTTTTGTTGCCCCCCCCCCCCCCCCCCCCCCCGAAAGTTAGCTGATCCCAAATGAGCAACAAGCACCAAATCTTGGTTTAACACATCCACAGGGGTTTAAACCTTAACCCCGTAGGAGTCCCCTGTCTTTTTGGTGGGTTTACTTCCCCCATCCCCAACCCCTTTTAGGAGTCGGTGTGTTTTGGGGTTTACTATCTCGCCCTTTTAGAAGTCTGGTGTGTTGTTAGGGTTTTACTATCCCAAACCCTTTTAGGAGTCGGTGTGTTGTTTTGGGGTTTTCTATCCAGCCTTGAGAATCGGTGTGTTTTTTAGGGTTTTACTATTAGCCCTT